CCCCCCAACTCCAGAACAAAGGCCCCTCCGCCCCTCCAAGCAGGAGCTGGGGTGGGGGCCCCTGCCTTCACCACCTGCCCCTGGAAGTCAGAAAGCTGCACCTTTGCACCATGGGGCCTGGGCTCCCCCGCTCTGTGCCAGCAGCTTCCCAGTACCTGGGGAGGGGCGGTGCCCTGCTGTCCCCTCAGCACGCTAGCTGCCCACTCCCGGGCAGGGACTCAAAACCCCATTCCTTCCGAGCATTTGGCCCCAGGTTCCTCCACCTGGAGCGGAGCGGAGCGTCTCACGCGGAAAACCCCCCGAGCTCCCGGGCCCGGACCCCCGGTCAGTGCTGGTGTCAGGGCCCTCAGCTCCGCGTAGGGGCGGAGCCCCTCACTGTGCCCACCAACTCCTGTAGCTGCAGCGCCCGCCCTCGGGCTCAGCGAGTACCGTGTTTCATCCCAAGTCAACCACGGCTCAGCCTGGCTCTGCAAGAGGCCGGGGCCGCCCTGCCACGTCTGCCACCCGGCTCCTGACTTCATTAGTCCGACACTTGTGACACTCCGAGAAGTGCTGTGGTCTCAGCAACGCACCTGTTTTGTACATGATTGTGTAATTTAAAGGTATATAAATATAAATTATATATATATATATAAGCTGTGATTGTATGACTGTGGATAAAACCTGAACTGTGTCAACCTGGCTGGGTGTTGTGATCTTGAGTCCTGTGTCTTTCGAGGCCTGTGGTTGGATGTCAGGGGGTCGGGGAGTGCCCAGGACAGGATGACGGGGGGCTGCCCGGCTGACCACCAACAGGCTGGGGAACTGAGGGCTGGTCCCTTCGCCTTCCAGGACCCCGGGTCCTGTCTGTGGGGGGACAGTTACATCTGAGGCTCCTGAGTAGCCATTCGGGTCCCGGGTGCCTGGGGTTGAGCACTGACCAGGGGAGCTGGACATGCGGGGCCCCAGACTCATGGCTCAAGGGTGATTTTGACCCTTGACCAGGTTTCAATTTTTTAAAAAATTCCTCATCCAAGGATATGTATAGACACAATTTTTTAAAAATTTTATGGAGGGAGGGAGAAAGACAGAGGGATAGAGAGAGAGAGATCAAGTGGTTGCTTCCTGTACATTCCCCAACCTGAAACCTAGGTATGTGCCTGGAGTGGGAATCAAACCCAAAACTTTCGGTGTATGGGCAACACCAAACACCTGAGCCACGCGGCCAGAGCAGCAATTTCCCAAGTTTTAAAGCAAAATTCCAGAAGTGATTACTAACAGACGGTGGCATCGCAGAGGGAAGGTGGGGGAGGGAGGAGGGTGGGAAGGGATCAACCAAAGGACTTGTCTGCATTTATGCATAAGCCATGGACAGACAACAGGGTGGGGAAGGCCTGGGGCGGGGCCGGGGGAGGCTAGAAGGGGTCAATGGGGATAAAAGGGGACGTCCGTAAGACTTTCAACAGTAAACATTTTTTAAAATAAAATAAAATCAGCTATCTATTTCCCATATAATAAAAGGGTAATGTGCAAATCGACCAAACAGCAGAACGACCAGTCACTATGACATGCACTGACCACCCGGGGCAGACACTCAATGCAGGATGCCCCCGGGTGGTCAGTGCACTCCCACAGGGGGAGTGCCGCTCAGCCAGAAGCCGGGCTGATGGTTGGCAAGGGCAGCTGCGGTGGTAGGAGCCTCTCCTGCCCCCACGGCAGTGCTAAGGATGTTTGACTGCTGGCTTAGGCCCGCTCCCCGGCCAGCTGTCTGACATCCCCCAAGGGCTCCTGGACTGCGAAAGGGGTAGGCCGGCTGAAGGACCCCACCCCAGTGCACCAATGTCGTGCACCGAGCCTGTAGTGTTATTGTTATTATATTACTGAGGCCCAGGGTATGAATTCGTGCACGGGTGGTGTCCAGCCTCCCTGGCCCCAACTGGGGAGGATTGGGGCTGGGCCTGTCAGGACAAGATGGCAGTAGGTTGGCTGGCTGGCCTGCCCGATCAGGTCCAGTCAGGACCGGGCCAGCTGGGGTAAGAGTCCATGGGCAATTGGGATTGGGGGGCTGATTGGGGGCAAGGCCAGCCATGGGGAGGGGC